CTCCTCTGCACCCAGAACACTTCTTGCAAACAGTAGCCATCCAACAACCAAATGACTGAACCATGAGATCGTGACCTGAGCCAAAGTCGGACACTCAACCAACTGAGCCACCCAGGCAACCCGCATTTCAATTTTTAAAACGGGAATTACTGAGCCATTTGGGATCATGAAATTTACTTAGAGTACTGAACAAAATGTTAAGGATAGGGTGTTTGCACACTATGACCTGTCCTGAAATCACTTCAAAACCACATGACACAAAACTGCGTATGTTTTATTCTGGAACTCTATAGTTCAGCAATCCACCAACTTTTCAATGAGTGCGGACTTACTCTTAAGAAGGAAGAGCCAGTGCCTACTTGGTATGAATTTTCATCGGTTGACTTTTGATCCAGAGATTCATACGGTCGTTCTTGTCATTCCGACCTCAAGGGACAATGGGCAAGAATGGTGAGGGTGCTGGACATGGTATCTGTCCTCACAAAGATTAGAAGCAAGAAACGAGGTTTGTAGGAAGCAGGGAAGAGGAAGCAGCCAAAGGATTTGAGACCCTATGGAAAGTAGCCTAAATTTGCTTAATGACTTCATGGAATTAGACCCTGTTCAAAAGACCTATAAGAGAAGACAGTGATGAACATAAATCACCCTGAATGTAGCTCAAGTAATATTTTCCCAATAACCTCCTCAACTAGCAAAATACTACATGTAATACAACATTTTAAAAAATTATCAGTGGCTCAAATGGGACACTTGAAAAAAAACAGGAAATATGGGTCAAGCTCTTTTAAAAACAATTTTCTGGGGGCACCTGGGTGGCTCAGTTGATTAAGCATCTGACTGGATCTCAGCTCAGGTCATGATCTCACAGTTTGTGAGACCCAGCCTTGTGTAGAGTTCTTTGCTGGCAATGCAGAGCCTGCTTAGGATTATCTCTCTCCCTTTCTCTCTGCCCCTTTCCGGCTCCCATGCTCGCTCTCTCTCTCTCTCTCTCTCAAAATAAATAAATAAACATTTAAAAAGAAAGAAAAAAAACAATTTTCTCATTTGTAATATCACTGGCAATATGAAATGATAAGGTGGAAAGGAGCAAACACTGAGATAACATTTCAACTAATTTTTTTTTAATGTTTAGCATTTATCTTTATTTTTTTAAGAGGTGGGGAAGGGGCAGAGGCAGAGGGAAAGAGAGAATCTTAAGGAGGCTCCACACCCAGCAGGAAGCCCGATGCAGGGCTCCACCTCACCAATCCTGCGATCATGACCTGAGCTGAAATTGAGAATCAGCTGCTCAACCAACTGGGCCACCCAGATGCCCTTAATGTTAGTATTTAAATGGCATATAGAACACAAGCCCAGAACATATCTATCACAGATCTATCATGTATCAAGTGCATGGATTCCTGGGGTGGGGGTGGGGGGAATATGTTTATTTCATTGACAAACCGCAAGGAACACGAAAGCCTACGGTTACAACACTGCACGAGGACTACATCACACGGACCCCAGCTTGCTTCTTAATGGTCCCGTAGAGCTGGGAAGTGTTTCCCAACACCACCACCTCCACTAGCTCATCCCTAACACCCTGATCTTTAGAAACACGTACTGCTTTTAGCTTTATTCGTTGCTGGCAGCTAGCTACAAAATAAATTACTTCAAATGACTTTTTATTAGTTTGCCTAAGACCAAGAAGTCAGGTTTTTAAATCTCCATGATGGTTGTCATGTAAACAAAGGCTTTGTGGCACCATTTCAAGATAAGGCAATTGTACTTTCCCCTCCGGGTGTGCCACACTCAAAAGTTTCCATGAAGATCCAGTATTAATGCTTGCGATTTCTATCACAATAATAACATAAAAATCACAGAGTTTTAGAGTTGGATGGCGACTTTTATTCCAAACCCTCAATTTCCATCCCAAACACCCAGGATAGAAATTCCTCCTGGAAGATTATTCTAGGCCTCTAGTCCCTGCTTGAAGGTGCCCAGACCTTGCAAATTCATGACTTGGTAAAGGAGATCATTCCATTTAAGAACAGGTGTAAAGGGGCGCCTGGGTGGCGCAGTCGGTTGAGCGTCCGACTTCAGCCAGGTCACGATCTCGCGGTCCGTGAGTTCGAGCCCCGCGTCGGGCTCTGGGCTGATGGCTCAGAGCCTGGAGCCTGTTTCCGATTCTGTGTCTCCCTCTCTCTCTGCCCCTCCCCCATTCATGCTCTGTCTCTCTCTGTCCCAAGAGATAAATAAATGTTGAAAAAAAAATTAAAAAAAAAAAAAAAAAAAAGAACAGGTGTAAAGTTAGAAATGGTTTCCTTATATGGAGCCAGATCTGTCTCTGTGTAACTTCCAACAATCTGATCCTGGTTCAGGCCTTTGGAGCTTTTTTTGGTTTTTTAAATCAATATGTTGACAGAGCTGTGTTCCTTCTGAAAGCTCAAGGGAAGAATCCTTTATCTTGTCTTCCAGCATTCAAACATTTTTTTTAATGTTATATTTGTTTTTGAGAGAGTGTAAGCAGGGGAGGGGCAGAGAGAAAGAGGAACAGAGGTTCTGAAGTGGGCTCTGTGCCGACAGCAGCCAGCCTGCCATGGGGCTTGAACTCAGGAACCTGGAGATCATGACCTGAGCTGAGGTCGGACACTCAACCCACTAAGCCACCCAGATGTCCCATTTGGAACTATTTTTAAATGGTCGTGTGTCTTCTTTCTTCTAAACAAAAATCTCAATTTCTTTAGCCATGCCTCATCTGACATTGTTTCCATACTCTTCATTACCTAGACCACATGTTTTGGACATAATGGACATATGGAATCTTCTTAAACTATGGCACCCAGAATTGAACACAAGGATCAAGAGCAGTGGGAGGATGACCCCTAAACTTGTAAATCTTTTGATAGAGTCTAACTTCAATGGCCATAGCATATTCACGACCATTGAGCTGGGACTTTTACAGAGAAACTTTATCCTTCACCAGATGTTTTATTGTCTCTTTTTCTTCTAATTCATGGAACTTCCTTTTTT